CGGCGCCTGCCCTTCTCCACCGCTGCGTCGCCGCGCGGCGGGGACGCCCCCGAGGAGCCTCCAGGTGCTGCCAGCGGCTTCCGGGGGGGGAGCTCTCCCGAGCCTCCAGCGGGTTCTCTGAGCGGCTTCGGCGGGGATTCTCAGGGTGGCAGGTGTGGGGGTGCCCGGGGTCTGGCACCAAAGGGTGCTCCCAGTGCGCCCCCGCTGTTCTGCGAGAGGTCCTGGGGTTATGATGTTCCATTCTACTTTAGCCTTGATCGCCAGGAGGCATGTCGGGCACCAGGGAAGTACCGAAATTGGAGGAGTGTCACGGGTCGGGCCCTGGAAGGCGACATTCGTTCGACACCGTCTCGATATTTTTCTGGGTGCTCGAAATGCTTTCTGGGACGTGGTCCTTCGGCACGATGGGGGCAACATAATCCTGGGGGCACCTCCGCCGCTGTGGGAATGCCTCAGAGGGAGCCGCAGGGCTCTTCGGAGGTCCGGGGGCCCTCTCGGGGCCCTCCTGGGCCAGCCGGTGGCTCCCGACCTCTGGGGGGCCGGCCGTGGTGCCTTCTGAGGGCCTTGGGCCGCCTGCGCGATGCTTTTCTTATCGCGCGCCAAGAGGCAGGAGGTGGCAGCAGGCAACATTGAGGCGGTTCCCCTTAAGTCGGGCACGTCCCTCTACATGAGGAATATCTAAAAATAGTCAAACTAAGAGTCTGGGATCGATTTTCCTACCGTTTTTGAATCTTTGTGTTTATTTTTTGTTATTGGTAATTTTTCTTACAAAAATCTTTTTTTGTCCAACATCCGCCTGTAGGGGGACATGCCCGACATAAGGTTAGCGCTCCTCTGCCTTTTCTCTGCCTGGACCCGCGCCCCTTCGTGGGCGCACGCGCGAGGCCCCCCCTCCCCCCAAGAAAAGCAAGTTGAGGCGGTTACCGCTCCCGTGGTGGGGGGGGCTTGCGGTTGGGAACTTCTGCTGAGCGCGTTGCGGTGGCGACCCCAGCGATACGCCAAGTATGCCTTGCAAGCGCATAGCGTGTCGCTCCGCTCCGCGGGGGCGGGAGACGTTCGGGGAACGGGGAGTGGTTAGCGTGTCGCGCCGAAGCGTGGTGGGCCAGAACTGGTGGCGCGACACGCTACATAAGCCAACGTTCCTGACCGTAAAGTCCTGCGTCTCCCCGGCTCCCTGGAGGGGGGCACGATCGGAAATTGCAGCATATACATTACCAGTGGCGGGCTGTTTTCTCACCCCTCGGATTTCTTCAGGGTCAGGGACGACGTCGGGTGTGGTGTACCATTTTTTAACCGTTTCCCGGGCAAACAACGAAAATGTATACACCAGGATCCCGTATACAACAGGATTCGCTTTCCTGTGCGAGTTGCACTGCAGGACCAGAAAAAGCGTCGGTGTATGGAATTCGGCTCCTCACACGAGCCGGTGCAAGCGACCGACCACTGCATTCTGTTTGAGTGAGCTTCGATTCCTGATGGACGGCCGATCGACGATGTGATGACCTTTGGCTTAGGACCTCTGGGCCCCATCGCGCGCGCAGTCCCCACAGTCTGAGGCAAATGGCCCCGATGAGGCAGGTGAGTTCTTGTAACCAGGAGCGCCTGCGACAGAACCTCACACCGCAATGGTTGCGTAATTAGCCATTTTGGCTCAAGCCGCTCTGGCCACACTGAGCAGCAGTGTCGAAGTTGCGTGCTGCAATGTCGAAGCGATTCGTCCCCGTGTCAGACCCCGAAAAACCGCGGACTGAGCAGGACGAGGAAGGCCTTCGGAAGCACCGTCAGTTCGACACCCCGCACGCCAAGCTCAAAGACGACTTGAACAAGCCGCGGGCCCCGAGGGAAGACAATAACCACCCTGGGAAGCCAACGGGGAAGCTGGCGAAGGACAAGGACCAGCTGTGGCGCAAGAAGGAGGAGATCCACGCGAAGAACAACCTCTTCGATAAACAGAAGACGTGGGGCCGGGAAACATTCGACTACTCCAATCCAGAGGAGGCGCGCGCAGACGGCAAGGGCGACAGAAAGAAGAAGCCTGGCGAGGTCCACTGGGGCGTGAAGGGCTCCTTCGGCGGTCGCGGCGAGGACACCGGGGTGCTGATCCTGCAGAGGGGGGAGGTGGTCGGGGAAAGAACGCCCTACGGTAAATTCGCGTCGTGTCGACTGGCGGCGATCCTGCCGCCGGCGTGCCACGTTGAACGCCGCCGGCGACCCAGAATAGGTCGACGTTGAACGATCCCCGCGGTGTCAGAGACCAACGCCGAAGTCGGCACGAGCCGAACCTGCCTTAACTACACCACGAGCACGGCGAGACCCCTCCCGTCTTCTGCAGAGAGGCGCCGGGGCCGACCTGCGCGCCAGACGGAAGCGGGAGTCCAGGGTAAGCTGGAGGCATCCCGAGATCGGGACCGTCCAAGCATGCTGCTGCTGTGCGTGCGCCACGCCCAAAACGAGGGCGCGCGCACTCAGACATCTCATGGTACAGGCTGCGTGGCTGGCGCTTTCTCGGCCAGACCGCTCGGAAGACGACATGCGAAGAGGACCGCGAGGTTTGGATCTGGGCCTAGAACTTTCGTGCGGCTTTGCCCTGAAGTTCTGTCGTGGCTATCCGTTCTTCCTCATCCTCTCCTTGTTCGCGTTCTTCCAGGTTCTGACTTTCGTTCGGTTACTCCTGAGGTACACAATACACACCCCTCTTTGTGTACTACACGTTCGTATCAGACGTGCGCCTCCAACAACAGCGCACAGTATCAGTATATGCCTTTCAGCGCCCCACGAGGATCCCCCCCGACACATCGCCTCCGACACATCGCGACCCCCCCCAAACAACCCCAGGGAGCGGAGGGGGAGGGCTCCCCTCCCCGAAGGGAAGAGGGGCTGTGGAAGAGGAGGGAGGCCCTCCTCAGTCCGCCTGTCGCCCAAAGGGCTGGTGGGCTCAGCATGTCTTGCAGCGTCCCACGAGCCCCCCCCCCCCAACAAAAGCCGGGCCAGAGCAGGCGTGGCCTCCCCCGGTCTCGGTGCGGGGGGGCCCACCGCTCGAGGGGGAGGTTCCCCGTCCGAGCCGCAGGGCCCCGGGTCGCTTGGGGGGCCCACTCCTCCTGGGAGGTGTCGGGGGCGGCAAAGAGGGGGGGGGTGCCTAGGGGGGGGGGGCGGAGACCATGGGGAGGGCCATGAAGTTTCCCCATATTTCGTGGCGCCTCTTCTTGTTTCAGTGCGTCCCCGCCTCCCCCCCCCTCGGGCCGCGCACGTGCCGCCGGCCATGATTTTTGCGCCCCCCCCCTCTTGGGCGCCCCCCTCGTGGCCGCCCCCGAAGGTGGACCAGCGGATGGAGCTGAACGACAAGGGCCTCTGGGTGAAGAAGAAGAAGGACTCGCCAGGGGGGGGGCGGGTCCTGGGGGACAAGCGGCTCCCGAGGTTCTGCTTCGCACGTCTCGGGGGGGAAGGACTCGTCCCGGGGGAATGCACCACGGTCCAGGACCCGCTTCGCTCGGGACCCCTTTCCCCCATGTTTAAAAGAACGGGCAAGTACCGGGGGGCAGGAGGAGGACAAGGCGGAGGAGGCAGAGGAGGAAGGACGAGGAGACGAAGGGAGGAGGGTCCCGTGTTTGGGGCTTCCGTTCTCAAGCTTTCCCCGTCCTTCGATCGAGTTCAGACAGACAACCAAGCCGGACGACGACAGCGCGTCGATTCAGTTTTGTTGGCGTCGGGCTGACGTTTCGCCCTTTCCTGGACTCTACAGAGCCAAGCCCACAATGGATGATGCGCATGCAAGAGGGCATGGAAGCACTGCTCCGACACGTGTGCAAGCAGCACAGTGCGCGTGTGCGTGTGCGTGTGCGTGTGCGTGTGCGTGTGCGTGTGCGTGCGTGTGTGTGTGTGTGTGTGAGTGTGTGTGTATGTGTGTGTGTGTGCGTGTTTGTCCATGTGGTTCGCCACGGCCGCACACAGCGCTCTGGCTCTGCGCGCCTGGTTGCTGCTGCTCCCCCCAGCAACTCATCGTCGAACTCTTCGACGTCTGAGCGTCCCTTCTTCCTCTCGGCCGTCCTCCCCTCTTTCTTTGCCCGCCGGCCAATTCGCTAGTTAGTGCCCCTTCCTAGCTTCTCGCTCGAGCGGAGTTTGCCGCCTCGCCGCCGACGGGAAAAAATCAATGTGTGTGTGTTTGTGTTGTGTGATGGTCTTGTTATGTTTGCTATTTGTTGGTTTGATGCTGATTTTGGATTTGCCAGCGTGCGTATCTGTTAGTGTCGTTGTTTGTGTTGTCTGTTTGTTTATCTATGTATAGGTTGTGTTGTCGGCTGTCGAGCAGTTTATTAATTACCTGTTTGGTTTTGAGGTTGTTTGGCTCGTGTTCCGTTGCGCATGTACATATGTTTATATATAGTTACAGATGTATAATTATGCATATATACGTATGTGTAGGTATACTTACATCTGTAGACATGTCTATGTATATGTATGACCTAAACACACCTATATATACACATATGTATGTAAGAGCGCGCCCGTTGCACACTCCTTACTACAACAGGGGCCCCAGCTTCAACCTCCCCCCGTCCGTCCCTTGGAAAAGGGGGGGCTTCCGAGGCTACCCCCCTCCCTTTTTGTGGGTATTTTTACATTGGGGGAGCCCTAGCTACAGGGGGGGTCTCAGAACCCCCCCCCCTCACCCCCTTTCCAGGGCCCGGGGTCAGCCCGGGCTCCCCTTTCAAAGGGGGGGCTGCTCCCGAAACTACCCCCCTCTTTTGTTAGGATTTTGTAGCCGGGGGGTCCCCAGCGTAAGGGGGGGGGGGCCCCACCTCCTTTTCGGGGCCTGGGGTAAGCCCGGGCGCCCCTTTCCAAAGGGGGGAGGCTTCCGAAACTACCTTCCCTCTCCTCCGTCTGTTGGCTTTTTCAGCTGGAGGGCCTTTGCTCACGGGAGGCTTCGAAACTACTTTTCTTCTTTGGTTTTCGACGCCCCGTTGGTTTTCGGCGCCCTTTTGGTTTTCGGCGTCTCTTTGGTTTTCGGCGCCGCTTTGGTTTTCGGCGCCCCTTTCGCCTTTGGCGCCCATTAGTAGGTTTTTTGGCGCCCCTCTGGTTTTCGGCGCTCCTTTGGTTTTCGGCGCTCCGGAGGTTTTCGGCGATCCTTTGGTTTTCGGCGCGCCTTGTGGTTTTCTGCGTACCTTCTGGTTTTCGGCGCAACGTTGGTTTTTGGCGTCATCTTGGTTTTCGGCGCCCTTTTGGTTTTTGCGCCCCGTTCGTTCTCGGCGCTCTTTTGGTTTTCGGCGCTCTTTGGATTTCGGCGCCCCTTTGGTTTTCGGCGCACGTCGGCTTTCGGCGCGCCTTCGGTTTTGGACGCCCATTTGGATTGTCTGCGTCCCTTTGATTTTGCGGCGCCCTTTTGGTTTTCGGCGCATCGTTGGTTTTCGACACCCTTGTGACTTTCGGTGCCCTTTTGGTTTTCGGCGCCCCTGCGTTTTTCGGCGCCCCTTTGTCTCGCAGCGCCCTTTTTGTTTTCGGCGCCTTGTCCGTCTTCGGAGCTTCTGTTGTTTTCGGCGCCCCTCTCATTTTCGGCGCCCATTTGGTTATCAGCGCCCTTTTGATTTTTTGGCGCCCTTTTGCTTTCCGGCGCATCGTGGGTTTTCGGCGCCCTTTTTGTTTTCGTTGCCTCTTTTGTTTTCGGCTCCCCTTTGATTTTCGGTGCCCCTGCGGTTTTCGGTGCCCCTTGTGTTCGCGGCGCCTCTTTTCTTTTCGGCGCCCTGTCCGTCTTCGGATCTTCTGTTGTTTTTGGCGCGGCGCCCCTTTGGTTTTTCCTCGCCCTTTTGGTTTTCGGCGCATCGTTGGTTTTCGGCGACCCTTGAGTTTTCGGGTGCATCTTTTGTTTTCGGCGCCCCATGGGTGGTCGGCGCCCCTCTTTGGTTTTCGTTGCTTTCTTTTTCGGCGCCCCTTTGGTTATCGGCGCCCCTTTGGTTTTGGGCGCTCTTTTGGTTTTCGGCGCATTTTTGGTTTTCGTCCTCCTGTTGATTTTCTGCGTCCTTTCGGTTTTCGGCGCCCTTTGGTTCTCGTCGCCCTTTCGGTTTTCGGCGCCCCTTTGAATCTCGGCGCCGTTGTGCGCTTCTTTGGTTTTCGGCGTCGTTATGGTTTTCGATGCCTTATCGGTGTTTGGTGACCCTTGAGTCGTCGGCGCTCCATTGGTTTTCGGCGCCCATTTGATTTTCGGCGTCCTTTTCAAATTCGGCGCTCCTCTGGTTTTCGGCGCCCTTTTGGCTTTCAGCGCTCTTTGGTTGTCGGCGTCCTTTTGGTTTTCGGCGCTGCTCTGGTTTTCCGCGCTCTTTTGCTTTTCGGAGTCCTTTTCAAATTCGGCGCTCCTCTGGTTTTCGGCGCCCTTTTGGTTTTCAGCGCTCTTTGGTTTTCGGTGCCCTTTTGGTTTTCGGCGCCCCTTTGATTTTCGGTGCCCCTGTGGTTTTCGGTGCCCCTTGTGTTCGCGGCGCCTCTTTTCTTTTCGGCGCCCTGTCCGTCTTCGGATCTTCTGTTGTTTTTGGCGCGGCGCCCCTTTGTTTTTTCCTCGCCCTTTTGGTTTTCGGCGCATCGTTGGTTTTCGGCGACCCTTGAGTTTTCGGGCGCATCTTTTGTTTTCGGCGCCCCATGGGTGGTCGGCGCCCCTCTTTGGTTTTCGTTGCTTTCTTTTTCGGCGCCCCTTTGGTTATCGGCGCCCCTTTGGTTTTGGGCGCTCTTTTGGTTTTCGGCGCATTTTTGGTTTTCGTCCTCCTGTTGATTTTCTGCGTCCTTTCGGTTTTCGGCGCCCTTTGGTTCTCGTCGCCCTTTCGGTTTTCGGCGCCCCTTTGGTTCTCGGCGCCGTTGTGCGCTTCTTTGGTTTTCGGCGTCGTTATGGTTTTCGATGCCTTATCGGTGTTTGGTGACCCTTTGGTCGTCAGCGCTCCATTGGTTTTCGGCGCCCCTTTGATTTTCGGCGTCCTTTTCAAATTCGGCGCTCCTCTGGTTTTCGGCGCCCTTTGGTTTTCAGCGCTCTTTGGTTTTCGGCGTCCTTTTGGTTTTCGGCGCTGCTCTGGTTTTCCGCGCTCTTTTGCTTTTCGGCGCTCCTTTGGTTTTCGGATATCTGATGGTTTTTGGAGTTTTTTTTGAGCCTTTTTTGGTTTTCGGCGCCCTTGGCTTTCGTGATTCTTTTTGTGTTCGGTGCCTTTTGGTTTTCGGCGCCCCGTTGCTTTCCGGCGTTCTTTTGGTTTTCGCTTCTCTGGTTTTCGGCTTCCTTTCGGTTGGCGGCGCCCTTTTGGTTTTCGGCACCCTTTTTGGTTTTCGTTACTCCTTTGATTTTTCGGCGCTTCTTTGGTTTTCGGCACCCTTTCGGTTTTTGGCGCATCTTCGGTTTTCGGCGCCCTTTCGGTTTTCGGCGTTTCTTCGGTATTCGGCGCGCCTCTGGTTTTCAGAGCTCTTTTGATTTGCGGTGTCCCTTTGGGTTTCGGCGCTCTCTTGGTTTTCGGCACCCTTTTGGTCTTCGGCGCCCCTTCCTTTAGCCAAGGGGGGGGATCTTGAAGCCTCCCCCTTTAGCTAAAAAGGGGGGGAGGGGGGGTCTTCCAGCAGGGGGGGTTCCAGGGGGGCGGGGGCAGCCAAGTTCCCCCCCCCTTCGGAAAGGGGGGGGGGTAGTTTCCGGAGCGCGAAAGAGGGGGAGGGGGTGGGTAGTCCCAGGGGGGGAAAAATGGGGGGAAGGGAGGGGGGTCTTCCGGCAGGGGGGTTTCAAAGGGGGGGGATAGCTAAACCCCCCTCCCTTTGTTGGAAGGGGGGGAGGAGGGGAGTTTCCGGAGCGCGAAATGGGGAAGGGAAGGGGGTGGTAGCTTTCGAGGGGCACAGAAACAGGGGGAGAGGGGTGCGGGCTTCCAGCAGGGAGGGTTCAAAGGAGGGGGGTAGCTAAGCCCCCCATCCTCTTTGTTGGGGAAGGGGGAGGGGACTGGTAGCTTCCAGAGCGCGAAAGGGCGGGAGGGGGGGGGAGCTTCCGAGGGGCGGAAAAAACAGGGGGGAGGGGGGGGGAGCTTTCGGGCAGGGGAGGTCCAAGGAGGGGGGCAGCTCAGGGGGGACCCCCCTGCTTTTGGGAGTGTGCGACGGGCGCGCTCTCTCAGATGTATGTTTCGTATGGCTGTCTCTCGCAACGCGGAACCCCAGAGGTCCCGACCCCTTCCCCAGTTTTTTGTATTGTAGACATTATTAGTATCATTATTATTCTTATGTTTAGTACTACTGTTGTTGTTATTGCTATCATTATAAGTATGAGTATTCTTTTTATTACTAGTACTATTATTATTGGCATTATTCGTATTTATTAGTATGATGATTATCATTATTATTATTATTGTCAATAGTATTGTTAAAATGGTTATTTTTCGTGTTATTTTTATTGTAGCTATTCTTGTTGTTCGACATTCATATATTATTCGTACTATTATTATTCTTATTATTATTATTATTCTTATTCTTATTATCATTATTCTGATTCGTATTTTTTAGTATTGTTATTCTTACTATTAGTTCCATCATCATTTTTATGTTTATTATTTTTCTTATTCTTATTGGTATTCGTATTCTCAGTATTATTAATATAACTATGAATCCGAACCGTTCTCTGACGGCCCCAAAGGGCGCAGCAGGGGCCCCCAGAGGCCGCGCGTGGCCAAACGACTTCCCGTCGTGCCTCTTTCGCGCACCTCGAGGGGGCCAGGGCGCCCCCTCGACCACTCACCCGCGGGCCCGCGTTCCGAGGCGGATGCAGCCGTGCCGACGAGGAGCTCCGCGGAGGCCCCGGGAAGCCAAGAGCGACCACAAAGCCCCCGAGCCTCGAAGCTCGACCCCTTCAGGAGCGGCGAGGGGCCGGGGGTCGAGCGAGGAGGGAGCTGGGAGAGCGCGTATCGCTCATCCTCGTCACCTCCCCCCCTCTGTCGTCGGCGCCGTCGTCATCCTCTCCCTGTTCCTCTCGAAAAGCAAGGCAGGCATAAAGTTACACTTGTGGAGGTCCGCTCGGATTTCTTGGGTCGACGCTGAACCCCCCCAGCGGCGTTTCTGGCGCCGCCCCTGTCGCGCTCCTGGGTCCAGCGCAGACCCAAGAAATCTTTTCGGACCAGCGGCAGCTCATGCTTGTGCCGTTTGGTGCTCCTCTAAGCTCCTCCTCCTCCTCCTCCTCCTCCACACCCCTACCTCGGCTTCTTTGCTTTTATTGTTTTTAATTCCGCGTGGGAATGCATCCCTCCTCCTCCTCCTCCTCCTCCTCCCCCTTCTCCTCCTCCTCCTCCTCCTCCTCCCGCCTCTTCTAATAGTCACGACAGAGCTCACCTCCCAGCTCTCGAAGGTCGTCGAGCGGATGACCTTACGATTGTTCGGCCCTCAGCCCGACATATTCGGTGCGTACGGCGCACGTCAGTTTGCATGCGCTCCCGGCCGGGAAGCCCGCGATGCTGTGTTGCGTTTTGTTTCGCAGCACATTATCGCCATCTTCTTCTTATTATTCTCGTCCTCCTCCTCCTCCTGCACTCCTCCTACTCATCCTCCTCTTGCACTCTCCTCCTCCTCCTCCTCCTCCTCCTCCTCCTCCGCTCTCTTAAGAAGGAGGCCGGCGCCGACGACGGCGCGGACAAGCCCAAGGTCGACGAGGCGGCCCAGCGCGACCTGCTGCGCGCGGCGCCGTCTAGAGAGGACACCTCCCTCGTCCGGGCTCTCCTGCCGCTCCTCCTCCTCGTCCTGCCCTCGCTGCTCCTCCTCCTCCTCCTCCTCCTCGTCCTGCCGGGGCTTTAGCCACTGCGACTGTGGCTGCCCAAAGCGGTCAAAGCGGTCGTCCTGCCCTCGCTGCTTCTCTCTCTTCATGGCTTTGGACGGGCCTTGCATGCAGGCTGCGCTCGGTAGGGATGTGTTGTGCGCGTGCGCGTGCGGCACGCGTGACGCTCGAGTGCGGCACGCGTGGCGCGTGTGTGCCGCGCACGTGCGCTCTTCTGCGCGGTTCTTTGCTCTTCGTGTGCACGGCGCGTGTGTTTGCTCTGCGTGCGCGCGCGGCACGCGTGGTGCGTGTGTGGCACGCATGCGGCCCCAGCTCCGACCTGCGTTCCAGTTAGGGGCGTGAGCTAGGTGTAATTCGGGCGTGTCCCTCTACAGGAGGACCATTCAAAATGATCCCAGTGTCACCCTACCTAGGAGTTGGAGCCTCTAGGAAAGCAACATTAGTAGGAGCGGTAAACGCTGTCCTCCTCCTTCTCCTCATCGTCGTAGTTGTAGCAGTAGCGGTAGTAGTAGTAGTAGTAGTAGTAGTAGTAGTAGTAGTAGTAGTAGTAGCGCCAGAGCCGCCGACGCCACGCCGTAAGTGAAGCAGCAGCAGAAGCAGGCAGCAAGTCGCCGAGACAGCAGCAAAAGCAAGCACGCACGGAGATGAGGGCGGGGCACTGGGGAGTTCTTTACATCTACATCTATATCTACACCTACATCTACATCGACACCTACATGTACATCTAGACATACATCTACATCTACACCTACAGCTACATCTACATCTACACCTGCATCTACATCTCCATCTACATCAACAGCGGGACTCACATCTACATCTACATTTACACCTACATCTACACCTGCATCTACACCTGCATCTACATCTACACCTACATCCACATCTACACCTACACCTACATATACATCTACATCTACACTTTCGCATTGGTTTTGCTTTTGCTTTGCATTCCCTTTGCTTTTGCTCTTGCCTTTGCTTTTGCCTTTGCCTTTTCTTTTGCTTTTGCTTTTGCTGTTGCTTTGCTGCTATGCGATGCTATGCTATGCTATGCTATGCTATGCTATGCTGCGCTATGCTATGCTGCGCTATGCTATGCTATGCTATGCTATGCTATGCTATGCTATGCTTTTGCTTTGCCTTCGCTTTTGCCTTCACTTTTGCCTTTGCTTTTGCTTTTGCTTGGCAGCCAGCGAGCACAACTGGGGGAACCGCGCGTTTGCTTTTACCTTTGCTGTTGCTTTTGCTTGGCTCCCAGGGGACTGGGGGAACCGCCCGGGGCGGTTTGCACTGCCCGGCCCTTTTAAGCCAAGCGAGTAAGAACCCTTCTAGGCAGAGCCTAGGTAGGGAAATAGTCCAATTATCCCAGTGCGACCCTACCTAGGAGTTGGAGCCTCTAGGAAAGCAACATCTGTAGGAGCGGTAAACGCCGTCCTCCTTCTTCTCCTCATCGTCGTAGTTGTAGCAGTAGCGGTAGTAGTAGTAGTAGTAGTAGTAGTAGTAGTAGTAGTAGTAGTAGTAGTAGTAGTAGTAGTAGTAGTAGCGCCAGAACCGCCGACGCCACGCCGTAAGTGAAGCAGCAGCAGAAGCAGGCAGCAAGTCGCCGAGACAGCAGCAAAAGCAAGCAGGCACGGAGATGAGGGCGGGGCACTGGGGAGTTCTTTACATCTACATCTATATCTACACCTACATCTACATCGACACCTACATCTACATCTAGACCTACATCTACATCTACACCTACAGCTACATCTACATCTACACCTGCATCTACATCTACATCTACATCAACAGCGATACTCACATCTACATCCACACCTACACCTACATCTACACCTACATCTACATCTACATTTACACCTACATCTACATCTACACCTACACCTACATCTACATCTACATCTCCACTTCCGCATTGGTTTTGCTTTTGCTTTGCATTCCCTTTGCTTTTGCTCTTGCCTTTGCTTTTGCCTTTGCCTTTGCTTTTGCTTTTGCTTTTGCTTTGCTGCTATGCTATGCTATGCTATGCTAATGCTATGCTATGCTATGCTATGCTATGCTTTTGCTTTGCCTTCGCTTTTGCCTTCACTTTTGCCTTTGCTTTTGCTTTTGCTTGGCACCCAGGGGGCACAACTGGGGGAACCGCGCGTTTGCTTCTACCTTTGCTGTTGCTTTTGCTTGGCTCCCAGGGGACCGGGGGAACCGCCCGGGGCGGTTTGCACTGCCCGGCCCTTTTAAGCCAAGCGAGTAAGAACCCTTCTAGGCAGAGCCTAGGTAGGGAAAAATCGTCCGGGGACGATTGTTTGGTCCAGTTTCGAATATTTTTTTGAATATTTCTCTCGGTACTTCCCGCTCCCTTCGCCCGCTCCTTCCACCTCCCTGCTCCTCCCTGGGCGTTGGTGCTCATCAGCGCTGCACCCCCCTTCCCCGGCAGCTGCTCGCGCGACGGGCACTTTCGAGGCCGGCCGATCCGGTCCGATCCCGCGCCTCCTCGTCCTCTGCCTCCGCCTCCTCTCCGCGCTCCGCGCTCCGTCCTCGGCCCTCCCCTCCTTCCTCCTCCTTCCTCCTTCCTCCTCCTCCTCCTCCTCCTCCTCCTCCTCCTCCTCCTCCTCCCCCTTCGCCTGGCCCTCCGCATGCTCGTTCCCCACAAACGTCCTCCTGCTCACATTCCGCGTCGTCGTCCTCCTCCTCCTCCTCCTCCTTTTCGTCCTCCTCTTCCTCCTCTTCCTTCTCCTCCTTCTCCTCTTCCTTCTCCTTCTCCTCCTCCTCCTCCTCCTCCTCCTCCTCCTCCTCCCCCCTCTTCGCATAACTATTGAGATAACGGCCGAACTTCTTTAGTATATCGGGTTGTGCAAAGAGACGACATTTAGTAGTTGCTTTATCTGTTCGACAACCCATGCGATACATTTCAACGCCATCACAACATTGATCAGCTGCACAGAGTTAACGCACACAGCCGCTTTGCATGAGCATAAGCTGGAGATACTTGGGGTGCTCGAGACTGGGGTGACTGCATTAATCTTGACATGATTTGTGCGTGGGGCAGAGACGGTGTGACTGTCCGTGCAGGTGGCCCGAAACAGGTGATGCTGCGTGAACGCGTTCGGCCGATTCACAAGAACAGCACATGCCTCACGCTGCCCCATGCTCGTGATGTCGGTGTCCCGGCGTTCGGGCCGAGCCGCGGGCCTATCATCGGCGCCTGCCGCTCATCTCCGCTGGCCGGCCGTGCGTGGGGGGTGCTCCCAGGCTCAGAGCCCGGGCCTCGCCCTGCACAGGCGGCAGTGATCCAACGGCTCGGAGCCAAGCGGCCGCCCAGAGGCCCGCCTTCGCTTCCGACCCGCCTCTTTCGGGAGCTGCGGGGCGGAGGGGCTTCTCCCTCGCAGGGCGCCGCAGCACGATGTGGGCGACGTCCCGCCCGCCCGAACGGCAGGCACGCCGTGCGCGTCCAGCGCTGGGCCCTGCGTCCATGCGCGCACGCAGGGGCCAGCCGCTCGGAGTCATCGGCAGGGGGCCACTGTGATGACTTCCCCTCACCCCCTCCTGCTCCTGCTCCTGGCCCTCCCCCTCCTCCTCTCCACCTCGCTCCTCTCGGCCTCCCCCTCCTCTCCTCCTCGTCCTCCTCTCGGCCTCCCCTCTGCCCCTAGGTTCCCGCTCCTGCTGCTGCTGCTGCTCCTCCTCCTGTGCCCTCTCCTCTTCCCCCCTTGCCTCGAAGTGCGCGCCAGGTCGGCGCAGGCCCGCCTGGGCCGCTCTGGCCCTTGCCACTCGCCCTCGCTCGGGCCGCGTGGGCCGCTTCGGGCGGTCGCGGCGGCCGCCCCGCCCCCCGCCGTGCCGCCCGCCCCTCGGTCTGCGGGGCTCCCCGCCGTGCTCTCGGCGTGCCAGCGCGGGCCGAGGGCCGAGGCCCAGGGCGGCGGAGCGCCCGGGGGCGGCGTGCGCCGCCGCGCGGGCGGGCCGCCGCGGCAGCCAGCTTGCAGCGGCCTGCCGCCGCCGCCGCCGCGGGGGCGGGCCTCGTCGGCCGTCGCGGGGGACGTCGGCGCCGCTCGCGGCGAAGGCCGCGGGGCTCCTGGTGACGCTCCTGGCCGTCCTTTCGCGGGCACGGGCCAGGGCAGGGGCACGCGCGGCAACATGGGCCAGGGGCCCGCCATGCTCTTTGGCCGAGGCTCACGCGGTGTTTGGCCCGCGTGGTGCACCCAGTGGTGGTGCACTCGGCCAGGAAGCTGTTCGGCATGTAGCGGGGGGTCTGCATGATCGTGGTCGCCCTGCTGTTCGGTACGCGTCTGTTCGGCAGGATTGCGCTCGAGGTGAAGCTGTTGGGCTTGACGCTGCGGTCACCCTGCAAGAGCCTCCTGGTCCTGTCGGTGCCGCTGCTCGCCCTGATCGCCAGCCCTCGGCGATCTGCGGCGGCACGAGGAACAGCGGCGACTGCGAGGGCCAGGTTGTGTCGGCTGCTGTGGGTGTCGTCCGCCGTGCGGTCGGGACCGTGGTCAGGGGGGCGGTGCCGTGCACTACCTCTGCCGCTGCGGCCGTTGCCCTCTGCAGGGGCTGGCCTGTGAGCCCGAGGGTGACACGGAAGTCTGGACAGGTTCGCCTCGCACGTTTGCCTCGCTCGCTTCGCAGCTGCGGGCCGCCTGGGGCCTCTTCCCTGTCCGCTTGGCCCTTGTCGTCGTCTTCGTTGCTCTCCGCCCTCCGTGTCTGGCGTCGTCGTGGATTGCTGTCCTTCTCTCTTGTTCAGTGCTGTCGGTGTCAGGCCACTTCGCGTGGGACAGGGCGTCACCGAGAGGCGAATCCTCCTGCTCCTCCTGCTCATCCTCATATCAATTAGCTGATGCTCTCCTCACCTCTGCTATACTCCGCTCCTCTGTTCTCTCTTCCTCGTCGTTACCCGTTCCCGTTCACCGTTCTCCGTTCTCCTCGTTATCCGTCCCCCGTCCTCCTCTTCTTGTATTGCTCCACTTCGCCTTCCTCGTCCTTGTTTCCCCTCATCATGCCCCTTCCGTTCTCCTGCTCTTGATCCACCTTCCTTCCGTTTGCCCTCCTTGTTTTCTTCGTTCCTCCTGCCGCCTTCATCATCCTCATCCTCATCAGCCCTCGCCTCCTGGCTTCCTCGCCCCCTCCTCTTCTCCCATCTCCCTGCCCTGCTCCTGCTCCTTTCCGCTCGTCTCGCATCCTCACATTTCCTCCTCTTTTTGCTCATCCTGCTGCTCCTGCTCCTCCGCATCCTGCTCCGTCTGCCTTCTCAGGCTTCTCCT